AAGAAAGTAATTTCTCCCTTTAAAGAAAGTCTTTTCTATCTTGTGCCATGTAATAGTCCTCTCATAAACAAAATCAGTATCAGTCAGCTCTGCAAATTTCATGCTATGAAACTATGCTACGTCTTTTTTAAAAATGTTTATTTCTTACAATAGGTATATTTTAATCAGTAAGCCTACTGTGTGGACAGATAAATTGCGACAACAATTTTTGGAAGGGTTCAAATCTTTCCTGAAGATTCTTACTTGTATGCAGGTATAGTATATAATCTATACTTTTCATTACACTCCAATGATAATTAGTATAGTGGCTAATAGTATACTCCAGTGTAGCCGTACTCTAATATTTTATTATTAGTTTGCATTTATATGATTTAATAGCAATAGCACTTAGACTTATGTAACGCTTTGCAGTGCTTTACAGCCCCCTCTAAGCGGTTTACAGAGTCAGCATATTGCCCCCAACAACCCTGGAAAGATGGAAGGCTGAGTCAACCTTGAGCCAGTGAAACTCGAACTGCCAACTGCTGGCAGCCGGTGATCAGCAGAAGTTGCCTGCAGTACTGCATTCTATCCACTGTGCCACCGTGGTTCTTAAAATGATTCTAAGAAGCTCTGCTTCTATTAAGTGACTGTTAACTTAACTTTTTTCAGTATAATCAATTCCAATGAATTCTGCAAGTATGCAATTACAAAATAACATGCCCTATTGCATTGTCACATTTCATTCAAAATAAAAAAAAATCCTCAGTTCAATTGATACTTCCATATCTATTTATTTAAGCTTATGGTCTGAATGGTCTTATGGTCTGAGTAAATTTGACTTGAGTTATCTGGATCTTGGTTTGTTACAGGGAATGGAGGAAATAAAGAGACAGGTTGGACAGCATATTGAGGTGGATCCTGACTGGGAAGCAGCCATTACAATCCAGATGCAGTTGAAGAACATTCTCTTGATGTTTCAGGAGTGGTGTGCCTGTGATGTAAGCTCCATAGCAGAAAGGACTTGCAGTGATCTGAATAATTGGAGTTTCTTATGAGCAGACTCCTCTCCCTAGGCTTACTCAATGTGACTGTTCTATTATAGCTCATTTTTCCCCCTTGGGAATTCTTAAAAATGAAACATTTCATTGAAATATTAAAAGTAGTTATCTTTGAAAGGCCTCTTGAATTATTGTTACTTAGGAAAAAGAAAAGCCTTTCTTTACTACAAGACCATTATTTTACGCATAGGTTCTGATTTTGGTAGCTTCTTGTGGGTGAAACAAGTGGTTTATAAATTTTTTAATGTTGCTTATTTTTTGGAATGGCACTTCTTAAAGTAATTACAGGTAGTTCTCGATTTACAACAGTTCATTTAGTGACCATTCAAAGTTACGAAGGCATTGATAAAAGTGACCTGTTTTTCACAGTTACAACCTTTGTGGCACCCTCATGATCATGTGATCAAAATTCAGATGCTTGGCAACTGGTTCATACTTATGACCGTTGCTGTGTCCCAAAGTCATGCAATCACCTTTTGCGACCTGACAAGCAAAGTCCGTCGGGAAACCACATTCACTTAACAACCAGGTTACTAACTTACAACCTGCAGTGATTCACTTACCAACTAGGGCAAGGAAAATTATAAAAGGAGGCAAAACTCATGTAATACCTCACTTAGCAACAGAAATTTTGGGCTCAATTGTGATCGTAAGTTGAGGACTAGCTGCACAAATCTATAGAAAATGCAACTATTTTTTATTGATAAATTCAAGAATTATAGCTTTGCGTTTCTCAGTATAGTTAAATAGATATTTTTATTTAAAACCCAAATTTAAAAAAATATTGGTACAAAGTGTTGCTTTTTTGCTAGAATTCCCTGAAATGTTTACTTTTCACTAAAAAAAAACACCAAGTATAGGGCAGATAGAGTTTTGTTAAAATTTAGTGCTTCATGATTTTACTTTTAATCACTGATATACATATCCGCCAAGTTTGTTTGCAGAAAGACAGCTACTATGATTATACCATAAATTCAGTGCTACACATACCATTAACTATTATTGTAAAAATAATGTAATTTCCAGGAAGAGCTCTTGGTTACAGCTTATAAGGAGTGCCATGCAGCAGTAATGAGATGTACCAACTCTGCCTGTAATTATTCACGGGACAAAGCAGTGATCAATTTATGTGGCCAGACTTTGGAATGTAGACGGTTCAAGGTATCAATGGATCCTGTGAGCATCCATCTCCCATTGTCTAGGATGCTAGCTGGTAAGTGCCTGTTGGTTAATAATGGCTGACAATTGATTTTCCCTTTTAAAAGTCTGGTCAGCTTTGATAAAAATAAGGCTTTGGATTTCTCAGGTGTAGGTTATATTTAAGTATATTTCTTATCATGTATATTATTGGCAGCTTAATCCCTATAAATGCAATTAATAGAGATTAAGTGCCAAATAAAAAAAAATCATTAAGTGTATATTTTGTGAGGGGAAAAAATTCTCTCCTTCCATGTGTGTGTATCATATATATCATGTATGTTCACAATTTTATTATTAATATTTTAATATTCCCCCCTATGTAGCCTCTAAAATGTTTTTTTTTCTTAAGTGGTGCCACATTCTTAATCATTTGCTGGCAAATGTATGTTTGATATGAAAAACCTTACATATAAGTGATTTTGAAATGCACAGTGATAACCAATGGTTCTTTTATCTCTCCCTTAATCAATAGTAAAATCTCTGGTAATGTCTTTTCTAGGTCTGCATATACAGTTGAGCAAAACTGGAATAATTTCAAGACTCCAAGAGTTTATGTCATCGGTAAGTGTCTTCTGCAGTTCAATCAGGTGGAGCGGTTAGTGTGCTAGATCTTTATGTTCTTGTTCCTGTTTAAATTCACTGTCTAGTTATAAAGCTTATTGCAGCCAATCGCTGACTCTTAATCTTCTTTGTTATAGTAATGCGATTGGATACCATTGAAGGACGAAGTAGAGTATGCTCTGCTTTGAGTTATTTGAAGGGAAAGTGCTAAAAAATACAGAATATTAATGAGCTATTAATAAAGAACTAATTCTGCATTTCACACTGGCTTCATAGGCTGTCTTAACTACAGTGCCACATAGAGTTACAAAGTAGAATTCCAGTCTTCAAATTATCCTACATTGTAAGCCAAAGGAAGAACTCATATAATCCATGCGTTATGGCCAAGGAATGTTGAAGAACTCATATCAATCCCAAATGCTAATAGGCAGTTAGCTGCTTTGGCCTTTAATGAGAGAAGTGAACTGACAAGCATCCTTGTACAATGCATATCTTTCTGTAGAGAAAATGTCACCCTTCCCCTGTGGATTTGAAATAGATCCACAAAACTTAAGCATCATTTTTCATTGAATCTTATGTTACCAGGATACTGTTTTTGTTTTCCTAATTCAGTATAGCCTTGTATTTAAGCACTGGCTGTAGACATAAGTAGTGAATAGTATCTATTGAAGGGAGTGAATAGTACACTGATGGCAACTTAAATTCACTGAGGACATTATGTATCGTTTCAAATAAATTTTAAATAACATTGCAAACAAAACAATGACTTGTGGCATGCAAAATTGTAATTACCAAAGGCCAAGAAACAGTAGCCCGATGTTTATTGTGCATCTTTTCCCCCAAAGACCATTTGTTAACAACTACTGTTGTGATCAAAAAGCTAGGAAAATGTGAGGGGCCTCTGGGGAATGGGGCTGTGTTATCTAGTCCTCTTGAGTTTGGGGGAAGGGAAAATAATCTTCAGGTATTTTTGAGGTAATTTTCCAATCCACAAGTCATCTTCAGACAGGAAGGATATTGGTTTGCAGTGGTTTATCAACTATTAATTATGCAAACTATAATTGTTTTAAAAATAATATTTTCTGCATTATTTTTAGAAAGAATTCCAAGTGCAGCAGTTGGTAGAATATCCTTTGCGCTGCTTAACATTGGTTGCTCAGGTTGCTGCAGAAATGTGGAAAAGGAATGGACTGTCTCTAATCAGCCAGGTATTCTCCAAATGACCATGAATGTATTTGTTTTTACAAATATAAGTCACAAGTTGAGGATGATCCGAACTGTAGCTGTCCCCTAATCTTTCTACAACACAAAAACTATGAGGGTGAAGGTTCATTCTGTGTGCCTGTGGGTTGGTTTCCGAACGCTTCCGAACAAAAAGTTATGAAAGTGGGAAATATTATTTGGCACAGATTGTGAGAGAATAGCAATAGCACTTAGACATATACTGCTTTACAGTGCCTTACAGCCCTCTCTAAGCGGTTTACAGAGTCAGCATATTGCCCCAACAATTTGGGTCCTCATTTTACCCACCTCGGAAGAATAGAAGGCTGAGTCAACCTTGAGCCTGGTGAGATTTGAACTGCCAAATTCCAGGCAGCCAGCATTCAGCAGAAGTAGCCTGCAATACTGCACTCTAACCACTGCGCCACCAAGGCTTACCTCGGTGAGATACCAAGGTGAGCCTCGGGAGCCACTGAGAATAGATATAGATCATTTTCTGGTGATAACTGACTCTAACTCTTGTCTTAAAACCAGCTTCTTTTTCAGGCACTAGATAGTTTATATTGTTATTGTTTTGGACATTTTTTAACTGAAATTCTAATTCTATGTTTATAAAAACAAAAGCTCAACTCTTCATGAAAATGTATTCAATTTTTTTTTTCTCTTTCAGATGTTTTATTATCAGGATGTTAAATGTAGAGAAGAAATGTATGATAAGGACATAATTCTCCTGCAGGTGACTATATCTTGTTACTATATTGTAGTAACTGCTTTTTGTATATCTGTTATTTTCTATTTTTTAGTACTGTTTATAATATTTATATCTCATAGATTGGGGCAGCATTTATGGATCCAAATAGTTTTCTTTTGCTTGTCCTCAAACGATATGAACTGCTTAATGCCTTCAAGAAGACAATGCCAACTAAACACCAGGTAAATATACTATTATGTTCATTTTACTGTTGAACACCAAATTATGTAGTAATCCATAAAAACTGTATGTACCATATTTTCACGACCATAAGGCGCACCGGATTATAAGGCGCACTATCAGTTAACGGTAAATTTACAAACTTTTTTCATATATAAGGCGCACCGGATTATAAGGCGCACTATCAGTTAACGGTAAATTTACAAACTTTTTTCATATATAAGGCGCACCGGATTATAAGGCGCACGGTTTTTTTTTGCAACATTCATCCGCGTGCA